AAGCAAATTAATTTGAATGAGGACCTGTCGGATGCAGCGATTACCGGCTTTACAATAGCATGAAACCGAACTTTACTGCGCAGTAACTTCTCAGATAAAAATGACCAATTTTTCCATATGCTTCATAACAATTTTCGAAAACTGGATCAAAAGGCAAAATTTTTATTCCGCAGAAAAATCTATCAAGTAAATTTCACTTTCGAAACTAAAAGTCGTTCACATTTTTTCGCGCCTTTTCCGTATTCGTATTTATCGAGTGCTATTTGGGCAACTGTCGGCAGATGAAATTCAATTGGGCTCAAAAAGTGCATATCTACCTAAGTGAATTTATAAATGCATTAATATAATTGAACGCATATCTGTAGTTATTTCAGCATTTTAAGATTTTTCCCGAAAAAAAAACAGCCAAGACCTATAGAAGAGTCTTGAATACGTTCATAAAAAATGTATTAATATGTGTGAACGCATATCTGTAGTTGTTTCAGCTTTTTTAAGACTTTTCCTTAAAAAAATGAGCCAAGACCTATCGAAGAGTCTTCAATACGTTCTTCAAAAAAATTTCAAGCTATTTCAAAAAATCCAATACGTTCTTCAAAAAAATTTCAAGCTATTTCAAAAAATCCCATGTTCCGTTAACGTGAAACACAAAATATTCCAAGTTTAACCAGAGCTCATACGCTAAATTACTAGAAACTAAGTCAGTTAGGTACACAAGCAATTTGGGACGAATATAAACTAGCCGAAAAAACGGACACCAACTTCATTTCCGGAAAAAACGGATACCAACTTCATTCTTCACACAAAAATTCTTTGCAAAAAACTAAAAACTAGAACTGAAATAAGGTTTCTTGAAATTGACTTTAAAAAACAACAAAATTACAGCACGAGAAGACTTGAAACAGTTAAGCAGAAAAAAATGTCCAAAAAAACAAACTTTGGCTTTTCAAACGATAAATTATTGAAGCTTTATGAATGAAGTGATTTTAGATTTGAGATCACTTGAGGCTTATCAAATCTTATTCAATGGCCTCGCAAGCCGACAGTAAATAAGCCTACAGAACTAAGGCCGACACCCAAAAAGCGTAAGCTTCACCGAAATTTTTCTGACAGCGCCAAAAAAAATCGCATCGCAAAATGTATATACAACCTGCATAAGCAGGCAAGCTAACAACTTAATAGCCAGCACGCACGCGCATTATGGGTGGTAGATGAGTATATTCACCTTCTGGCCATTCTGTGAACAAGACCGTTTACGAGAAAAAAGTCTAGTACCAGGTTGCAACACTTGCTTATAGCAAGGGTAATAATTAAAGCTATCAAATGAATCAACTGACTTTGTTAAATAAGTTCTTAGCCTGAAAAGAAATCTATATCCAATTTGATTTTGCTTGCTAATCGCATTTGTAACAAGAACTGTTAAATAAACTGCTCCACTTGCGTTATAAATGTTGATTTTCCATAAAACCTTTACCATGGGAAACTTTACAATTTAGATATTGGGAGAAAAAAAAGACCAGTGTAATTTTTTGGTAGGTAAATTTGAAACTCATTCCACTAAATGAAACTACTTGTTGCCATGTAATCACAATTTCTCAGCTGATATTAGACAGTGCTTTTCATTGGAGCAGGTTCAATTCATTCAAAATACCAATGCATTGAATTGAAAATAGAGAACTAGATTCAATTGAAACCTTGTTTCACCGCATTGGAAATTTTAACTCTTTTAAACCAATCAGATTGCCGCATTTAATGCAACTGTATCGGTTTATTTTGCACATATAAGTTTAGCAAATCCGCAAACAATTAAGACAACATTCCATATACGAATCACCTTTTTCATTTCTTAAAGAGCATCTCTCATCTGTATGCTTTCTTTCAGACATTGAAATAAATGACTACAGGAACTGATAAAAACGCAATTCAAACTTTCTTGTTTTCTGGAAATAAGTCTCAAGAATTCATGATTTCTGAATTCAAGAATTGATTTTGAAATACCATGAATCGCACACCCCACAACCTTAGTTTACATGTAAAATGCCTCACGAAAATGTTGAAACATATTTATAAAAAATACTTTCTAGATGTTTTTTTTCAAAGTCAAAGCACTCATTGAATTCAGAAAAGGCAACATAAGTTGAAAAAATCAAATTTAAAAGTTTCGCTCAAAAAAATTTCAACAAAAAAACGGACAACCTTAACAAACCCTTTCAATAGTCAAAAAATCATTTCAATTATAACACTTAGAACGAAGTTCGGACACAGAGGCAAACGGACGGTCGCACCACTTGCGATATGACACAAACATAGAAGTTTCAAAAAAATTAATGTTGAAAAAATTAATGCTGAAAAAATTAAGTGAACCAAATTTTTCGTGTCTTGAGAAAAAACAACTAGGGGCCAGTTAAATCTGGATGTACGTGTTAGATATTGAATAAACTTGCTATACCGATGCGGAACGAAAAATAAGATTACAAAAATTCCACTTTGCCCAAAACCTTAGTTGTTTCTCTACTAAAAGTAAGAAGAGTAAAAAAAAAATGGGATAATCAATTTTCCTAGGGAGATATCATTTCTCTTACAACAAATTGAGGAGCCGCGGCTTCTTCAGAACAACTATCGCAACCGCTTCTTTCAATTGAACTTTTCATCTCAGATTTTGATGTTAGGAAAAATCAAAATTTTTCTAAAAACAGTCAAAAGTTATATTAAACGTTGAAGACACTTCAAAATTCATAAATTTTTTCCACGAAAAAGCAGTTTGAAGCTGCCTAAGCAGAGGAGATTCCCAAAATTAGATTTTTTGATTGAACACAACCTGAGAATTCACTCGAAAGTTACTGCGTAAAGTCAATAAGTTTCCAAACAATTCTCAAAGTTTCAAATATTTGAAGGTTTTAAGGCCATATTTTTTTCTAAACCAAACTGGGCGTAGCCAAATATGAAGGAAGGCTTTCAAAAACCTGTTCAAAATATAGGCCGAAATAATTAGGGCCGATGAACATTTTTAGCAAAACAAAAAAAAACAAAGAAGGATAAACTAAGTCAAGGAAAGTAAAAGTACAAATTGGAGTGAATCAAACACTAAAGCAATAAAAAAGAAAAAAGCGCGCAGCAAAAAAAAACGGTTCCAAGATGTGACAACTTGAAAGACAACTAATAAAAAGATGAAAAGTTGGTCAAAAACTTTATTTAAAACAGAATATTTCCTATGTGAAAAAAAAACAAGTCATGGTCAGATTTAAACCCAGAATCTTTGCCGCCACAGGCATATTTGAAACCTCCAGGCTAAGCTGACCGGGAACGCATAGAAAATTGAACTTACAAGCAAGCCCGTTTCCAACATTCCATCGATTTGCAAAAAGTGAGTTGTTGTTCTGATCAAGCTGTTGAATCAACAAAACTAGGGACAATTTTAAGTTTAACCAGGTCGTGAATCTGTTTGGAAAAACTTATTTCAAAGATCGAATCGGTTCAAGAAAAATCTGCGTTTTTCAAAGCAAACGATTCCAGCTATGAAACCTCGAATATTTCAAATTGTTTCTTACAGCAAGTAGGTTCGTGAAAATTTATGGTTTTTCTAAGCAAGCTATTCAAGCTATGAAAGTTGAAAATATTTGAAATTATTTTTAAGCGCTAGTCGGTTTGCGAAAAGTTTAGGTTTTATTAAGCAAGCTGATCTAGCTATGAAACCTTGAAAATTTCAAGTTATTTCATAGAACGAATAGATTTGCGAAAACTTCAAAAAATTCTAAGCCATCTGTTCGAATTATGAAATATTGAAATATTTCAAGCTGGTTATAAGACAATCATTTTGTAAAAAGTGGAAGTTTTCCTGTGCAAGTTTTTCGAGTCGGGAATTTTCAAAATGTTATAAAATGTTATAAGCTTTGACAATTTGAACACTGAGACCAAGTTGCATTTCGCATCAACAAGCAAAAATAAGACCAATAAGGCTTCTGGAAACAACTGAATGAGTAAAACTTTGAGTCTACAAAACATAAAGAGACCCACGCCATTTATGACGCATTAGCAGTACCAGTCAATTTGAAGAAAAAAAAATCGCAAGTAACAAGCATCAATTTATAGAGCAGTCAATTTGTGAACCGGATGGCAAATTGTTGCGCGGGAAATGTGTTGCGCGAGAAAATGGAGCAAGGAAATTCGAGAAAATCGTATCTACCTGATTTCAGTTTTTACAAGCAAGCTTTTAAAAACTGCAAGAAATTTTCAAAATGTTATAAAATGTAAAAAACTTTGACAATTTGAACACAGAGGCCGAATGAAAGCTAAATGAAAATCAAAAAAGAAAGCTAAATGAAAATCACAGAGACCGAATGAAAGCTAAATGAGGCCGAATGAAAATCATCCCACCACACGCCATATTAAGTACAAATTAAAAAATTTCGATCTAAGTAACAAATCAATGATGACAAAAAAGCTTCCTTCAACAAATTTGGAATGATTTCTATGACTGATTAAATCTACGCTTATGCGTTAATAGCGCGAAATATATCGCGCGTTAATACCCCCATAACTTGGAGCAGTAATAACATGAAAAAAAAATTAAATATAAAAATGAAAAGAATTTTTGTTAATTTAGGATTTTTTGTAAAACTCATCCCACCATACGCCATATCAAGTACAAAGTGATAAAGTTCGCTCTTAGTAACAAATCAATAATGGCAAAAAAGCTTCCTTCAACCAATTTGGAACAATTTCTATGACGGATTAAACCTCGGCTTGCCCGTTAATAGCGCGAACTACATCGCGCGTTAAAAGTCCCAAATTTGCCGAAATGGCAACTTTTATACCTCCATAACTTCATGAAAAATGATCACAGGTAAAATAGCTTCCCAAATTTAAGCTCAGGATAACAAAACTTTTTGAATGATAAAAAAACCGCCAAAAATAGCCAAAAAACACGAATTTTGTCTGAAGAAAAAAAAACCACCCTGAGCAAAAATCATCCGTTTTTTTTCGACAACAGACATACTCTGAGAGTGGTGAATTCGGTTCACAGTTATTGACTCCGAAGCCAACTCTTTCCACTTGTTTCGTTGTTTAGAATCAACCTCACCAGCTGCATCCATTTCACTCGTTACTGATCTGTCCATTGGAGCACCTAATGTGCGCAAGCTTTGTTCCAGAGAAGCTTCCCCAGTTGATGATTCTGACTCAGACTTTTCCAGCAGCTTCAATTTCACTTGTAACATTTTCACTTCTCTTCTCAGTTTGACTATTTCCGCATTCTTCTCTTTTGTTAACGCATTCAATGCCAAGTTGAAAGAAGTCTGAAAGAAAGAACTCTAAACAAGGTGTTCTCACGCGACAGAGTTCAAAGGGATTTTTTGTTACTTTCGACAATGTCAGCATATTGTAGACAATTTAAGCTGATCAACATTAAAAAACAATACCGTCAAAAAAAATTTGCTCCATTTTTGAAAACAGAATTTGACATAGGCGAAGCTGTGCTTCGCAAACACAAGCGATGAAGATGCAAAAAAGAGCTCTAAACAGGCAAAACAAAGAGAAATAAGGAAAAAATTTTAAAAAAACAGATTGAAAAAATTTGTTATGATACAGAGTATCACGTTCTCACATCTTCTCTATGAACGCGTGTAATTTTACTAACACTAGCCGCCAACAAAGCAGCTACAGTTCTATCTAACAAATCTATTAAAATATTCCGGATTTGAATTACCGACCCATCGATTAGGACGCTCACAACCTCACATATGCACCAGAGTTGCCTGGAAGTAAACTAGAGGCCCAGCTAATACTAAATCTGCATATTCTAATATTTTAAATAATATATTATACTGATACAAAAATGGACTTTCAAAATTTCAAAAAATGGACTTTACGCTAAACCCTAGTTTTTGTCTGCGCAAGTAGCGGATTAAGCGCTTATTTAGAGGACAAAACTACTACTCGTTCTTTCAATTGAAGTCTTTATCGCAGATTTGGTAGGGTAATTTTCGAAAAAAAGTGAAAAGATTCCAAAAATCGATCAAAAATTCAAAACTATTTTCCTAAAACCATAAACTTTGCTCTTCTGAACTATGGGAAGAGGCTCTTTTTTCCACACCCTGAGTTGGACGTTAAAGATTTTCTCACTTTGATTTTTATATTGAGCCCTTAATATCAGATTTATCTAGTTTTCGAGAATTCAAAAAAAACGGTTAAAACAAAAAGATTTTTTTCCGAAGTCCAAATCAGCTTTAATACAAAAAAAACAAGCAGAAACCGATTAAGCAGGGAAAATCTAAGCATCAAATTAGTTTTTATGAACTAGCAAACTCAGAATCAGCAGCTTAGTTTTTGATAAAGAATAACTTTCCAAAAAACGGGCAAAACATCAAATATTGAAAACTTTATAGGCCATATAATTTTTGAAAAAGTTCCAAGGCACTTGCACGGGTAACATTCTCATAACTGATTTTTTCTTTCAGTTAAACTCTTAATTTTGAATTTAGCAGGGAAGTTTTCGAGAGAAGTCGAAAAAATTTTTTAAATTAACCAAAAAATGGGCTTCTTTGAGTCCCAAGCTTTTTTCTACCAAATTTAGGAAAAAACAGCTTCAAAAGAGGAGATCCTTATAACTTTTCTTTAGATTGAAACTTTCATCTCAGATTTGCGCATTTAATATTTGAGAAAATGAAAAAATTCAAAACAAATAGGCCAAAAATCCCCCTACTGAAACTTTTCAAGGCAGTACAACGTGAGGTAAAATGAAAAGAGACTAGCAAACTATGCAAACACATAAAATAGCAGCCGATTTTTCCATTGCAATTGTTTTTTTTAAATCGGTAAAAGAGTTTTAGAGAAAAATTTCTGCGAAAAAAGCGAAAAATTTCCCAAGCGTCGCAAAAAAAACGAAAACCAAATCCCATTATTATTATTATATTACATGCTTATTTTCAAAGATGAACAAACACCAGCCAAAAATAAAGCAGCAAGAGAGGCCATTGAATTTTTTAAACTTTATTAAGCTTAAATATGAAAAAATAGAAACAAACCAAAAGTGCCATCAAATGAGCACTTTTATTTGCGACAGCTTAGAAACAAAATCTTACACTATGCTTCGCTTTTGTAATCACCAGATGGATAACAAGTGTGAGAAAAACTCGAAAAAAAGACAATGATAGCCGGCTGCTCAGCAAGTTGTCTAATATGTTGCGACTATATTTATTTAACAAAAACATAACAACTGACTGTTAAAAAAGAGAAATGAACGCAAGAAAACAGAAAACAAGATTTCAATTTTAGAGAAATATATGCCTTTGAAGCAATTGAATTTTGAAAAACAATTTATGGCTGGTGATTTTTAATAAAATTAACTCAGTTTGAGAAAACTGGATCAATAGGTAATTTTTTAATTCCGCTGGGAAATCAATATCGCTGGGAAATTAATTCCGCTTAATTTCGAATTTAGCAGGGAAGTTTTCGAGAAAACTCGAAAAATTTTTTAAAATTGACCAAAGTGTCAAAAAATGGGCTTCTTTGAGTCCCAAGCTTTTTTCTACCAAATTTAGGAAAAAACAGCTTCAAAAGAGGAGATCCTTATAACTTTTCTTTAGATTGAAACTTTCATCTCAGATTTGCGCATTTAATATTTGAGAAAATGAAAAAATTCAAAACAAATAGGCCAAAAATCCCCCTACTGAAACTTTCCAATGCCGTAGAACCTGAGGTAAATTGAAAAGAGACTAGCAAACTATGCAAGCACATAAAAGAGCAGCCGGTCTTTCCATTGCAACTATTTTTTTTAAATCGGTTCAGTAGTTTTAGAGAAAAATTTCTGCGAAAAAAGCGAAAAATTTCCCAAGCGTCGCAAAAAAAACGAAAACCAAATCCCATACATTTTTATATTACATGCTTATTTTCAAAGATGAACAAACACAAGCCAAATATAAAGCAGCAAGATAGGCCATTGAATTTTTTCTACTTAAATAAGCTTAAATAAAATAAAATAGAAACAAACCAAAAATGCCATCAAATGAGCACTTTTATTTGCGACAGCTTGGAAACAAAACCTTACACTATGCTTCGCTTTTGTAATCACCAGATGGATAACAAGTGTGAGAAAAACTCGAAAAAAAGACAATGATAGCCGGTTGCTCAGCAAGTTGTCTAATATGTTCCGACTATATTTATTTAACAAAAACATAACAACTGACAGTTAAAAAAGAGAAAGGAACGCAAGAAAACAGAAAACTAGACTTCAATTTTTAGAGAAATATATGCCTTTGAAGCAATGGAATTTTCAAAAACAATTTATGGCTGGTGCTTTTTAATAAAATTAACTCAGTTTGAGAAAATTGGATCAATAGGTAATTTTCTAATTCCGCTGGGAAATCTGAACATTAAAATCCTATATTGAAATTTAGAAGTCCATCACGTTTTTGTGACCTTACACTTTTGCTACTCGATAGTGGAGTTTGTCTGCTTTTTGAAACTTGGACACACTAAGACTGAAAACACTAAGACCTATAAAAGAGTCTTTACTAAGTTCATTACTCTTTATAACTAGTGAATTACATTGACGTTAAACAGAAATTACAAGACATTTTAAGACTACTTTTAATTACATTTCTCGACAAAAGCGTAATTTTCAAACTGGTTTTCTCAAAAATAATTACTGTCGTTCAATTTACTATCCAGTGGATACTAGGGCGGTGGAGTTCGATCAACACCAAATCACTCGCTCAGAAATCGTTCAGGGCTATTTTTATCTGAATAGGATGTACCAAGCTAGCTCTGAGGTTGCTGCATGGGCGGTGATGTTCCAGGAGGACTTAAGCTAGTTGCCAACAAAAACTTCGATTTGGTGTTGAACCCGCATAAGGATACATTCACACTTTTGGTCACGTCACCATGAACTAAGGCTATCTCAAAGCAAATTAATTTGAATGAGGACCTGTCGGATGCAGCGATTACCGGCTTTACAATAGCATGAAACCGAACTTTACTGCGCAGTAACTTCTCAGATAAAAATGACCAATTTTTCCATATGCTTCATAACAATTTTCGAAAACTGGATCAAAAGGCAAAATTTTTATTCCGCAGAAAAATCTATCAAGTAAATTTCACTTTCGAAACTAAAAGTCGTTCACATTTTTTCGCGCCTTTTCCGTATTCGTATTTAGCGAGTGCTATTTGGGCAACTGTCGGCAGATGAAATTCAATTGGGCTCAAAAAGTGCATATCTACCTAAGTGAATTTATAAATGCATTAATATAATTGAACGCATATCTGTAGTTATTTCAGCATTTTAAGATTTTTCCCGAAAAAAAAAAACAGCCAAGACCTATAGAAGAGTCTTGAATACGTTCATAAAAAATGTATTAATATGTGTGAACGCATATCTGTAGTTGTTTCAGCTTTTTTAAGACTTTTCCTTAAAAAAATGAGCCAAGACCTATCGAAGAGTCTTCAATACGTTCTTCAAAAAAATTTCAAGCTATTTCAAAAAATCCAATACGTTCTTCAAAAAAATTTCAAGCTATTTCAAAAAATCCCATGTTCCGTTAACGTGAAACACAAAATATTCCAAGTTTAACCAGAGCTCATACGCTAAATTACTAGAAACTAAGTCAGTTAGGTACACAAGCAATTTGGGACGAATATAAACTAGCCGAAAAAACGGACACCAACTTCATTTCCGGAAAAAACGGATACCAACTTCATTCTTCACACAAAAATTCTTTGCAAAAAACTAAAAACTAGAACTGAAATAAGGTTTCTTGAAATTGACTTTAAAAAACAACAAAATTACAGCACGAGAAGACTTGAAACAGTTAAGCAGAAAAAAATGTCCAAAAAAACAAACTTTGGCTTTTCAAACGATAAATTATTGAAGCTTTAACAAAAAGTTATGAATGAAGTGATTTTAGATTTGAGATCACTTGAGGCTTATCAAATCTTATTCAATGGCCTCGCAAGCCGACAGTAAATAAGCCTACAGAACTAAGGCCGACACCCAAAAAGCGTAAGCTTCACCGAAATTTTTCTGACAGCGCCAAAAAAAATCGCATTGCAAAATGTATATACAACCTGCATAAGCAGGCAAGCTAACAACTTAATAGCCAGCACGCACGCGCATTATGGGTGGTAGATGAGTATATTCACCTTCTGGCCATTCTGTGAACAAGACCGTTTACGAGAAAAAAGTCTAGTACCAGGTTGCAACACTTGCTTATAGCAAGGGTAATAATTAAAGCTATCAAATGAATCAACTGACTTTGTTAAATAAGTTCTTAGTCTGAAAAGAAATCTATATCCAATTTGATTTTGCTTGCTAATCGCATTTGTAACAAGAACTGTTAAATAAACTGCTCCACTTGCGTTATAAATGTTGATTTTCCATAAAACCTTTACCATGGGAAACTTTACAATTTAGATATTGAGAGAAAAAAAAGACCAGTGTAATTTTTTGGTAGGTAAATTTGAAACTCATTCCACTAAATGAAACTACTTGTTGCCATGTAATCACAATTTCTCAGCTGATATTAGACAGTGCTTTTCATTGGAGCAGGTTCAATTCATTCAAAATACCAATGCATTGAATTGAAAATAGAGAACTAGATTCAATTGAAACCTTGTTTCACCGCATTGGAAATTTTAACTCTTTTAAACCAATCAGATTGCCGCATTTAATGCAACTGTATCGGTTTATTTTGCACATATAAGTTTAGCAAATCCGCAAACAATTAAGACAACATTCCATATACGAATCACCTTTTTCATTTCTTAAAGAGCATCTCTCATATGTATGCTTTCTTTCAGACATTAAAATAAATGACTACAGGAACTGATAAAAACGCAATTCAAACTTTCTTGTTTTCTGGAAATAAGTCTCAAGAATTCATGATTTCTGAATTGATTTTGAAATACCATGAATCGCACACCCCACAACCTTAGTTTACATGTAAAATGCCTCACGAAAATGTTGAAACATATTTATAAAAAATGCTTTCTAGATGTTTTTTTTTCAAAGTCAAAGCACTCATTGAATTCAGAAAAGGCAACATAAGTTGAAAAAATCAAATTTAAAAGTTTCGCTCAAAAAAATTTCAACAAAAAAACGGACAACCTTAACAAACCCTTTCAATAGTCAAAAAATCATTTCAATTATAACACTTAGAACGAAGTTCGGACACAGAGGCAAACGGACGGTCGCACCACTTGCGATATGACACAAACATAGAAGTTTCAAAAAAATTAATGTTGAAAAAATTAATGCTGAAAAAATTAAGTGAACCAAATTTTTCGTGTCTTGAGAAAAAACAACTAGGGGCCAGTTAAATCTGGATGTACGTGTTAGATATTGAATAAACTTGCTATACCGATGCGGAACGAAAAATAAGATTACAAAAATTCCACTTTGCCCAAAACCTTAGTTGTTTCTCTACTAAAAGTAAGAAGAGTAAAAAAAAAATGGGATAATCAATTTTCCTAGGGAGATATCATTTCTCTTACAACAAATTGAGGAGCCGCGGCTTCTTCAGAACAACTATCGCAACCGCTTCTTTCAATTGAACTTTTCATCTCAGATTTTGATGTTAGGAAAAATCAAAATTTTTCTAAAAACAGTCAAAAGTTATATTAAACGTTGAAGACACTTCAAAATTCATAAATTTTTTCCACGAAAAAGCAGTTTGAAGCTGCCTAAGCAGAGGAGATTCCCAAAATTAGATTTTTTGATTGAACACAACCTGAGAATTCACTCGAAAGTTACTGCGTAAAGTCAATAAGTTTCCAAACAATTCTCAAAGTTTCAAATATTTGAAGGTATTAAGGCCATATTTTTTTCTAAACCAAACTGGGCGTAGCCAAATATGAAGGAAGGCTTTCAAAAACCTGTTCAAAATATAGGCCGAAATAATTAGGGCCGATGAACATTTTTAGCAAAACAAAAAAAAACAAAGAAGGATAAACTAAGTCAAGGAAAGTAAAAGTACAAATTGGAGTGAATCAAACACTAAAGCAATAAAAAAGAAAAAAGCGCGCAGCAAAAAAAAAACGGTTCCAAGATGTGACAACTTGAAAGACAACTAATAAAAAGATGAAAAGTTGGTCAAAAACTTTATTTAAAACAGAATATTTCCTATGTGAAAAAAAACAAGTCATGGTCAGATTTAAACCCAGAATCTTTGCCGCCACAGGCATATTTGAAACCTCCAGGCTAAGCTGACCGGGAACGCATAGAAAATTGAACTTACAAGCAAGCCCGTTTCCAACATTCCATCGATTTGCAAAAAGTGAGTTGTTGTTCTGATCAAGCTGTTGAATCAACAAAACTAGGGACAATTTTAAGTTTAACCAGGTCGTGAATCTATTTGGAAAAACTTATTTCAAAGATCGAATCGGTTCAAGAAAAATCTGCGTTTTTCAAAGCAAACGATTCCAGCTATGAAACCTCGAATATTTCAAATTGTTTCTTACAGCAAGTAGGTTCGTGAAAATTTATGGTTTTTCTAAGCAAGCTATTCAAGCTATGAAAGTTGAAAATATTTGAAATTATTTTAAAGCGCTAGTCGGTTTGCGAAAAGTTTAGGTTTTATTAAGCAAGCTGATCTAGCTATGAAACCTTGAAAATTTCAAGTTATTTCATAGAACGAATAGATTTGCGAAAACTTCAAAAAATTCTAAGCCATCTGTTCGAATTATGAAATATTGAAATATTTCAAGCTGGTTATAAGACAATCATTTTGTAAAAAGTGGAAGTTTTCCTGTGCAAGTTTTTCGAGTCGGGAATTTTCAAAATGTTATAAAATGTTATAAGCTTTGACAATTTGAACACAGAGACCAAGTTGCATTTCGCATCAACAAGCAAAAATAAGACCAATAAGGCTTCTGGAAACAACTGAATGAGTAAAACTTTGAGTCTACAAAACATAAAGAGACCCACGCCATTTATGACGCATTAGCAGTACCAGTCAATTTGAAGAAAAAAAAATCGCAAGTAACAAGCATCAATTTATAGAGCAGTCAATTTGTGAACCGGATGGCAAATTGTTGCGCGGGAAATGTGTTGCGCGAGAAAATGGAGCAAGGAAATTCGAGAAAATCGTATCTACCTGATTTCAGTTTTTACAAGCAAGCTTTTAAAAACTGCAAGAAATTTTCAAAATGTTATAAAATGTAAAAAACTTTGACAATTTGAACACAGAGGCCGAATGAAAGCTAAATGAAAATCAAAAAAGAAAGCTAAATGAAAATCACAGAGGCCGAATGAAAGCTAAATGAGGCCGAATGAAAATCATCCCACCACACGCCATATTAAGTACAAATTAAAAAACTTCGATCTAAGTAACAAATCAATGATGGCAAAAAAGCTTCCTTCAACAAATTTGGAATGATTTCTATGACGGATTAAATCTACGCTTATGCGTTAATAGCGCGAAATATATCGCGCGTTAATACCCCCATAACTTGGAGCAGTAATAACATGAAAAAAAAAATTAAATATAAAAATGAAAAGAATTTTTGTTAATTTAGGATTTTTTGTAAAACTCATCCCACCATACGCCATATCAAGTACAAAGTGATTAAGTTCGCTCTTAGTAACAAATCAATAATGGCAAAAAAGCTTCCTTCAACCAATTTGGAACAATTTCTATGACGGATTAAACCTCGGCTTGCCCGTTAATAGCGCGAACTACATCGCGCGTTAAAAGTCCCAAATTTGCCGAAATGGCAACTTTTATACCTCCATAACTTCATGAAAAATGATCACAGGTAAAATAGCTTCCCAAATTTAAGCTCAGGATAACAAAACTTTTTGAATGATAAAAAAACCGCCAAAAATAGCCAAAAAACACGAATTTTGTCTGAAGAAAAAAAAACCACCCTGAGCAAAAATCATCCGTTTTTTTTCGTAACGCAAGTCGGAACAATAATAGTCTGTGTTTAAACCTTTAGCATTGGCTGAACCTAATAGTTGGTTGATGATTAAAAGGAACAATTTCAAAATGAACACACTTTATCGCAACAATATTTGCGTCGCAACAACATTTGCTTTTTAGGTTGGAAAAAATGATAGTTTATACTATAACACAAGCATTAGTTATTTTAAAGAGCGATTCGTTTTCCTATGCAAGCAGTAAAGTTCTGTAAAATTTCAAATTTCGTTCTGTAAAACTCTGTAAAAATTCAATTTCGTTATCAGTTGAATTGCAAAAGGCAGATCTAAAGATAGGTTTTCAGTTGCAATTGCAAGATGATAGCTGATATGTGCAGAGGACAATTAGATAGACTAGTTTCACTACATTGTATTCACTGGCCGGAACAATTAGGCTTCGTGTTAGCTGCCCGGCACCGATTTTGTCCAGCAGTCGACCTTCACCCTGTAGAATCTTTGTCCCACTTGCAAGTTAAATCGGTTATTTGGCTGAAACACCACAAGTCACCTCGGTCACAAAATTTTACTGAGTCATTATTTTTCAATGTGTTGTCTCACCAATCACTTTCAGTTTGCCAGCAAAAGATGATAAAATTGCTGTTACCTTTCTCACTTTGCAGTGCTCCTTGCTCACAAACACGGCTATATCCCTTTTCTTGCTTTCTAAAACACAGCAGTTCATTGAAAATCGATAGCTTCAAATACTCAAATTTTACATCGATCAACCATATTTGAAAAGCTATCATCCTGTCCTTTTCGATCTTAAATATAAGACCAAAAACAGCAGGAATTCAAATAATAAGTCAGTGAACAGTCAAACAGAAAAGCCAAAAAGTCAAGTCGAGTCTCACCGGGTCTAGATTGAGTGTTCACTCCCAGTCTCTCGTAGCAATCCTCGTGCAAAAAATAGGGCGTGTTTGTGACACTGAACAGTCTGTAGTGTCCACTAGGGCTGTCGAATTCGATCAACACCAAGTCGTTTGCTCGGAAATCGTTCAGGGCTATTTTAATCTGAATAGGATGGACTAAGCTCTGAGGTTGCTGCATCGGTGGTGATGTTCCAGGAGGACTCAAATTAGTTGACAAAAGCGTCGATTTGCTGTTGTCCCCGCATGATGATACGTTCACACTTTTGGTCACGTCACAATGAACTAAGGCTGTCCCAACTGAATCTGTCAGTGGTTTCGGTTGACTGATGACAACAGACATAATCTGAGAGTGGTGAATTCGGTTCACAATTTTTGACTCCAAAGCCAACTCTTCCCACTTGTTTCGTTGTTTAGAATCAACCTCACCAGCTGCATTCATTTCACTCGTTACTGATCTGTCCATTGGAGCACCTAATGTGCGCAAGCTTTGTTCCAGAGAAGCTTCCCCAGTTGATGATTCTGATTCAGACTTTTCCAGCAGCTTCAATTTCACTTGTAACATTTTCACTTCCCTTCTCAGTTTGACTATTTCCGCATTCTTCTCTTTTGTTAACGCATTCAATGCCAAGTTGAAAGAAGTCTGAAAGAAAGAACTCTAAACAAGGTGTTCTCACGCGACAGAGTTCAAAGGAATTTTTTGTTACTTTCGACAATGTCAGCATCTTGTAGACAATTTAAGCTGATCAACATTAAAAAACAATACCGTCAAAAAAAATTTGCTCCATTTTTGAAAACAGAATTTGACACAGAGGCGAAGCTGCGCTTCGCAAACACAAGCGATGAAGATGCAAAAAAGAGCTCTAAACAGGCAAAACAAAGAGAAATAAGGAAAAGATTTTTAAAAAAACAGATTGAAAAAATTTGTTATGATAAGGAGTATCACGTTCTCACATCTTCTCTATGAACGCGTGTAATTTTACTAACACTAGCCGCCAACAAAGCAGCTACAGTTTATCTAACAAATCTATTAAAATATTCCGGATTTGAATTACCGACCCGTCGATTAGGACGCTCACAACCTCACATATGCACCAGAGCCACCCGAAAGTAAACTAGTGGCCCAGCTAATACTAAATCTGCATATTCTAATATTTTAAAAAATATATTATACTGATACGAAAATGGACTTTCAAAGTTTCAAAAAATGGACTTTACGCTAAACCCTAGTTTTTGTCTGCGTAAGTAGCGGATTAAGCGCTTATTTAGAGGACAAAACTGCTACTCGTTCTTTCAATTGAAGTCTTTATCGCAGATTTGTTGGGTAATTTTCGAAAAAAAAGTGAAAAGATTCCAAAAATCGATCAAAAATTCAAAACTGTTTTCCTAAAATCATAAACTTTGCTCTTCTGAACTATGCGAAGAGGCTCTTTTTTCCACACCCTGAGTTTGACATTAAAGATTTTCTCACTCTGATCTTTATATTGAGCCCTTAATATCAGATTTATCTAGTTTTCGAGAATTCAAAAAAAAACGGTTAAAACAAAAAGATTTTTTTCCGAAGTCCAAATCAGCTTTAATTCAAAAAAAAAACAAGCAGAACCCGATTAAGCAGGGAAAATCTAAGCATCAAATTAGTTTTTATGAACTAGCAAACTCAGAATCAGCAGCTTAGTTTTTGATAAAGACTAACTTTCCAAAAAATTGGCAAAACATCAAATATTGAAAACTTTATAGGCCATATAATTTTTAAAAAAATTCCAAGGCACTTGCACGGGTAACATTCTCATAACTGATTTTTTCTGTCAGTTAAATTCTTAATTTTGAATTTAGCAGGGAAGTTTTCGAGAAAACTCAAAAAAAAATTTAAAATTAACCAATATGTCGAAAAATGGGCTTCTTTCAGGCCCAAGCTTTTCTTCTACCAAATTTAGGAAAAAACAGCTTCAAAAGAGGAGATCCTTAGAACTTTTCTTTAGATTGAAACATTCATCTGAGATTTGTGCATTTAATATTTGAGAAAATGAAAACATTCAAAACAAATAGGCCAAAAATCCCCCTACTGAAACTTTTCAAGGCAGTACAACGTGAGGTAAAATGAAAAGAGACTAGCAAACTATGCAAACACATAAAATAGCAGCCGATTTTTCCATTGCAATTGTTTTTTTTAAATCGGTAAAAGAGTTTTAGAGAAAAATTTCTGCGAAAAAAGCGAAAAATTTCCCAAGCGTCGCAAAAAAAACGAAAACCAAATCCCATTATTATTATTATATTACATGCTTATTTTCAAAGATGAACAAACACCAGCCAAAAATAAAGCAGCAAGATAGGCCATTGAATTTTTTAAACTTTATTAAGCTTAAATATGAAAAAATAGAAACAAACCAAAAGTGCCATCAAATGAGCACTTTTATTTGCGACAGCTTAGAAACAAAATCTTACACTATGCTTCGCTTTTGTAATCACCAGATGGATAACAAGTGTGAGAAAAACTCGAAAAAAGACAATGATAGCCGGCTGCTCAGCAAGTTGTCTAATATGTTGCGACTATATTTATTTAACAAAAACATAACAACTGACTGTTAAAAAAGAGAAATGAACGCAAGAAAACAGAAAACAAGACTTCAATTTTAGAGAAATATATGCCTTTGAAGCAATTGAATTTTCAAAAACAATTTATGGCTGGTGCTTTTTAATAAAATTAACTCAATTTGAGAAAACTGGATCAATAGGTAATTTTTTAATTCCGCTGTGAAATCAATATCGCTGAGAAATTAATTCCGCTTAATTTTGAATTTAGCAGGGATGTTTTCGAGAAAACTTGAAAAAAAAATTTAAAATTAACCAAAATGTCAAAAAATGGGCTTCTTTGAGTCCCAAGCTTTTTCTACCAAAATTAGCAAAAAGAACTTCAAAAAGAGATCCTTATATTTTTTCTTTAGATTGAAATATTCATCTCAGATTTGTGCATTTAATATTTGAGAAAATGAAAAAATTCAAAACAAATAGGCCAAAAATCCCCCTACTGAAACTTTCCAAGGCCGCAGAACCTGAGGTGAATTGAAAAGAGACTAGCAAACTATGCACGCACATAAAACAGCAGCCGGTCTTTCCATTGCAACTATTTTTTTTAAATCGGTTCAGTAGTTTTAGAGAAAAAATTCTGCGAAAAAAGCGAAAAATTTCCCAAGCGTCGCAAAAAAAACGAAAACCAAATCCCATACATTATTATATTACATGCTTATTTTCAAAGATGAACAAACACCAGCCAAAAATAAAGCAGAAAGATAGGCCATTGAATTTTTTAGACTTAAATAAGCTTAAATATGATAAAATAGAAACAAACCAAAAGTGCCATCAAATGAGCACTTTTATTTGCGACAGCTTAGAAACAAAATCTTACACTATGCTTCGCTTTTGTAATCACCAGATGGATACAAGTGTGAGAAAAACTCGAAAAAAGACAATGATAGCCGGCTGCTCAGCAAGTTGTCTAATATGTTGCGATTACATTTATTTAACAAAAACATGACAACTGACTGTTAAAAAAGAGAAATGAACGCAAGAAAACAGAAAACAAGACTTCAATTTTTAGAGAAATATATGCCTTTGAAGCAATTGAATTTTCAAAAACAATTTATGGCTGGTGATTTTTAATAAAGTTAACTCAGTTTGAGAAAACTGGATCAATAGGTAATTTTTTAATTCCGCTGGGAAATCAATATCGCTGGGAAATTAATTCCGCTTAATTTTGAATTTAGCAGGGAAGTTTTCGAGAAAACTCGAAAAAAATTTTAAAATTGACCAAAGTGTCAAAAAATGGGCTTCTTTGAGTCCCAAGCTTTTTTCTACCAAATTTAGGAAAAAACAGCTTCAAAAGAGGAGATCCTTATAACTTTTCTTTAGATTGAAACTTTCATCTCAGATTTGCGCATTTAATATTTGAGAAAATGAAAAAATTCAAAACAAATAGGCCAAAAATCCCCCTACTGAAACTTTCCAATGCCGTAGAACCTGAGGTAAATTGAAAAGAGACTAGCAAACTATGCAAGCACATAAAAGAGCAGCCGGTCTTTCCATTGCAACTATTTTTTTTAAATCGGTTCAGTAGTTTTAGAGAAAAATTTCTGCGAAAAAAGCGAAAAATTTCCCAAGCGTCGCAAAAAAAAACGAAAACCAAATTCCATACATTTTTATATTACATGCTTATTTTCAAAGATGAACAAACACAAGCCAAATATAAAGCAGCAAGATAGGCCATTGAATTTTTTCTACTTAAATAAGCTTAAATAAAATAAAATAGAAACAAACCAAAAATGCCATCAAATGAGCACTTTTATTTGCGACAGCTTGGAAACAAAACCTAACACTATGCTTCGCTTTTGTAATCACCAGATGGATAACAAGTGTGAGAAAAACTCGAAAGAAGACAAGGATAGCCGGCTGCTCAGCAAGTTGTCTAATATGTTCCGACTATATTTTTTTTAACAAAAACATAACAACTGACAGTTAAAAAAGAGAAATGAACGCAAGAAAACAGAAAACTAGACTTCAATTTTAGAGAAATATATGCCTTTGAAGCAATTGAATTTTCAAAAACAATTTATGGCTGGTGCTTTTTAATAAAATTAACTCAATTTGAGAAAACTGGATCAATAGGTAATTTTTTAATTCCGCTGGGAAATCAATATCGCTGGGAAATTAATTCCGCTTAATTTTGAATTTAGCAGGGAAGTTTTCGAGAAAACTCGAAAAAAAATTTAAAATTAACCAAAGTGTCAAAAAATGGGCTTCTTTGAGTCCCAAGCTTTTTTCTACCAAATTTAGGAAAAAAAAGCTTCAAAAGAGGAGATCCTTATAACTTTTCTTTAGATTGAAACTTTCATCTCAGATTTGCGCATTTAATATTTGAGAAAATGAAAAAATTCAAAACAAATAGGCCAAAAATCCCCCTACTGAAACTTTCCAATGCCGTAGAACCTGAGGTAAATTGAAAAGAGACTAGTTGCAAGCACATAAAAGAGCAGCCGGTCTTTCCATTGCAACTATTTTTTTTAAATCGGTTCAGTAGTTTTAGAGAAAAATTTCTGCGAAAAAAGCGAAAAATTTCCCAAGCGTCGCAAAAAAAACGAAAACCAAATCCCATACATTTTTATATTACATGCTTATTTTCAAAGATGAACAAACACAAGCCAAATATAAAGCAGCAAGATAGGCCATTGAATTTTTTCTACTTAAATAAGCTTAAATAAAATAAAATAGAAACAAACCAAAAACGCCATCAAATGAGCACTTTTATTTGCGACAGCTTGGAAATAAAACCTTACACTATGCTTCGCTTTTGTAATCACCAGATGGATAACAAGTGTGAGAAAAACTCGAAAAAAGACAATGATAGCCGGCTGCTCAGCAAGTTGTCTAATATGTTCCGACTATATTTATTTAACAAAAACATAACAACTGACAGTTAAAAAGAGAAATGAACGCAAGAAAACAGAAAACTAGACTTCAAGTTTTAGAGAAATATATGCCTTTGAAGCAATGGAATTTTCAAAAACAATTTATGGCTGGTGCTTTTTAATAAAATTAACTCAGTTTGAGAAAATTGGATCAATAGGTAATTTTCTAATTCCGCTGGGAAAT